CTAAGGTAACTCTGCTGCAGAAAGGGAAGTAAAGGGAACATCTTTCTTCTTGCCCTTATTTCTGCCCTGCTGGTCTCTTGCTTCAAGATCTCAGGTTGTAGATAGTGCCATTAGTATTATTGTTAAATTTATTATGGGTTTAATAGGATTTATGAGTTACCCTGGGATCCTCAGCGCACTGCCAAATTCTGTGGTAAAAATGTATTCTTATTCTAAATAACTGTGCATTGGAACAAAGTGCTTTTAACTTAAAAAAATGTGTGAATAGCCCATAATAAATGTAAGATAGTTATTTTATATAATGTAATTAATTATAAACAAATACATATTTCATTGTTAATAAATATATCTTTGTCCATATTTTCAGTCATCTGTGTTCACATATGATGCTTATATGTTGGAATTCAACCTCTGATACTTTTGTATACCATGGAGTTTAGGTTTATATTTACAACTTTGTTCCTCATACAGACTATTTTATAAAAGGAAGACCTAATTATTCCTATCTTTATTCTTCCATAACAGTTTATTCATAGCACTGATTTGACAATGAAATTTATACCTACTGTAGCTAATTATATAGAGGACTGTTTCCACTGCTAGGTCATGAACTACCAACATGCATAGGAATTTACTGATAATGTGGTATGTGAGACAGGAAACCTTTCACTGGATAAAAAAATCAACTAAAGATATAAATATTTACTTTAAGGGCTTTAATTTTACCCCATTTTTTCTCTGCTGTCCTGCTAAATCTTACTTGCTTTAATCTAAATATAATTAGCACCCTAACTTTTAAATGCTGTGCTTAGGATAACATTCACCTATTTTTGTGTCACATATATTCTTGAACTCTTCATGTGCAACCATTAACATCACGTGTAAAGAAAACTCATTAGATATATGTGTTAGAAAATATTCATGAGACATGCCTCTAATGTGAGGTGATTATTTTCACAAATTTACACATTTAAATGAAAGTTTTTTCATTTAATGTGGACTACTCAGAAAGCTTTATGTTTAGTTTAATAACGCTGTCTTTGCACAAAATAATTTTGGAACTATTCTCTTGGAATAGCAAATTGTACACTCAGAGTTATAATCACTGAATCTTATAACTGAATAAGATCTTAGAGTTTCCAAAAATGGATGTGTATCACAATCACTTGGGGAGTCTACAAAAATACAATTCAAGGGTCTAAACTCAGGAGCTTTTGAGTCAGTACATTAGGGTGGGCCAAAGGAATCTTATTTGAATAAGCAACCTCAGTGACTGTACAATTATTTCTTGGTTTTTGGTTGCTGGCTTAACCTTAGAGATTATCAGGTTGACTTCTCATCCAGCGTGTGAATGTCTTATATAATAACTCCAAGAGGTGATCACCCTAACCCTACTTAAGGCTTTCCATGAACTGCAGAGTCTCAAGGCTAGGACTAGTGGGGGGAGGGATAAATTGGAAAGGCAGGAGGTCAGAATGGCAGGTGAAGAAACCAATCAGAAGGCCATCACAAGAGGATAGTCAGGTATGAGAAGCAAGGGAAAAATGTAGACACTGTATTAGAGAAAATAATCAACTGGTAAAGATATTTCAGAACTAAGATTGAAATAAATTATGAAGTAGAAGAGTTAAGGAGAGAGGCTTCTAACTGAGTTGATGGCAATACTATTGTAGAAAGAAAAGGGTCACCATTTATGGGAGTGATATCTAGTTCAAGTTTGGATGTGTTGTGTTTAGATTGTCTATGACCTA